CATAATCACAAAACTGAAGAACCTAAAGACCTAAAGAAAGAAATAATAGGCAAAAAGTGAATCAAAAAGAAAAAGAATAAGAAGGAAATACACCTTTGATCACAGAACTGAAGACTAAAAGAAAGTAAGAAATTGGCAATGAGAAGCTTAAATGAAGGAAACTTACCTTTTGCTGCAGAACTGAAGAACATAAAGTCCTAAAGAAAAGAAAATAGGAGCGAATGGTAAAAATAAAATTAAAATAAAAAACCCGCTTTTTACAAAAGTTTTCAAAGTGAAAAAAGGGATTTGATAATCGATCTCTGATGGCCATGATGACTTGACATGTCAAATGGAAATTCTCATGCGACTGGTCGATTTTCATTTAATTCCTAAAAGTATAATTTCCTACGCTTCGCTCCGTAACAAAGATTGAAAAGTTTTAAATGCAGCCAGACACTATTATATTAGCGTTATTATTGGTGACAAATATGTGATGGGCCAATCTAAACTCGGGTAGGATTATGGTAAATACTTGGTGTAAATGATATATTTTTCCCCATGATATGCTTAATCATTTTAGAAAAACCAATGCCTGTCAATCAGCTTATAATTTGTTATTTTTTTTTTGTCACAATTACGTGAAGAAAAGGGAAACCTTAGTTGTATAATTAATAAAAATTAATCTTCTAGTTTGGAAAGTAGAATCAGTGAGAATCTTTAACTTAATATGAAGATATAACATTCGCTTACAATTTTGTCATTCATATATAAAGTATTCATAATGATTAGGAATTGTTTACTTTTTTATATTTGAGTAAAGATACATATGCAATTCAATATAGGAATGAACGTAATCAAAGCACGTTATCATCGTTATTGTTAACGTTAAGTATATTCATATATGAATTTGATATTGATAAAAAGATTTAAGGGTAAATTAACATAACGATGTGATGGGTTCATTATATTAAAATAGTATTCAGTTTATAATATATCATTCTAATTTTTTAAATTATTATTTTTAAATAAATGGAAAAACATATTAAAGCTTTATTGAATATAATTGGGTCGTTAAATTTTTATTTCTGAAAATAAAAATAATTTGTTAATTTGGTATGGCAAGCCACTCTGGTCAAAAGTGTGCCGCATTTTGCGGCAGGTGCGCCTGTTTTTAGGCGCCTGATGCGCTAAGTGCGGCAGGTACACCTATTTTTAGGCGCCTGAGTGCGGCAGGTGCACATAGTTTTTAGGCGCCTGATGCGCAGGAGGCGCCTGGTTTTAGGCGCCTGAGGCGCCTAAGTGCGGCAGTTGCTCCTGATTGCAGCAGGTGCGCCTGTTTTTAGGCGCCTAATTGCGGCAGGTGCAGCAGATTGCGGCAGATGCTCCTATTTTTTGTTCCTTTTCAATCATAGGCTTTTTTTGGAAATAAGCATCTTCTGAGCTTTTAGCATAGATTTACGTACATTGCCAAATTAATTTAATAATTTGATAAAAATAGTAAGTTAAGCTTTTTTTTGGTTCAAACTCGTTCCAATGGATTGGAT